CTCCTCTGCCTCTGTGCCTCTCTGTCCGCTTCTCCGCTCGCAGGTCAGCCTCTACGCCAGCCCCCCGAGACCCAGCCCCCTCGTCCACTCCGGCGCCGTCCACCAGGGCTCAAAGGTCATGACCCTGACGTTTCCCCAGGCCCAGCGGGCCGAGCTGGGACCGTCCGCTGATCCTGCCCCGCTGGCCCGGCTGGGCCCAGGTACTGAGCCTCACTGTCCTGCCCGAGTCCCACCTGCCCGTGATCGGGAGTGAGCGGGGTGCGTGTCTGGAGACGGACGAGCCTCTCTCGCGCAGCAGGCTTCTTGCAAATTGAGGGGGCTCTCCGTTTTTATTTGTGTTCTGAATTTTAAGGCCGGCCCGGTTTCTGAAAAAGAAAAAAAAAACGCCTTTCAGCGTCAGACGGGGGGGCAGGAGAGAGAAGGGCCTCCGATCGTCTCCCCTCCTCCTCCCCGTCTCTTGAGTTTTCCTGTGCTGTGGCATCTCCCGCAGGACAGACTGGGGCACCCTCTGACCTGCAGCCAGCCCAGGCCTGCGCCCCCGGTCCGGGCCCGGGACCTGGAGCAGGGGGACAGCTGACCGAAGCTCTGGCCAGGCAGGCCGAGAGGTTCCGGCTTCAGGTGGGTGCCGAGCGTCACCTCCGTTCTTTCCTAGTTAGAACAACAAGTGAAATAACTGGGCGAGACACACTTCTGAGCAAGGGGACACCAGGAGACGCTTGTGAAAATCATGGTTCTGCTGCACTGGACGAGCTCCTGTCTTTTATGTCCGTATGCTCTTGTCCTCAAGAAAAACCGGCTTGTGTCTTGTGTCTCGTGAAATGAATTAAATGTAATGAACAGATCGGCGGCAGCAGGGCCCAGGCACAGAGGGGTCACGGGGGGCGTGTGCACTCGTGCACGGTGATGGGGGGTGGACACCAGAGGGGGCTGTATCTGCACACTGACGCCACCTTGTGCCAGTGATGGCAGGAGTGTTCGGTATCCAGTGGTCCGATGTGGATGCACGCCACGTGCCAGAGCACCTGAGGGCAGGGTTTTCTCTGTACAGCTGTTCGCACAAACAAGGCCTTGTGTCCTGATCTCTTCAGTGCAAAACCGCACAGCTGGTCTGACGTCACTGTGCCTCCTGTCTCTGCCTGCCTCTCCCTTCCTCTCCAGATCGACTCCTTCGAAGATCTGCTCAAGACTGGAACCCTCAAGCCCTACGAGCAGATGAAGGTACAAGGAGCTCCACCTGTTTCAGACCCCCCCGAGCTTAACGCAGATGGAAGAGGTTCACTGTTAGAAGCTGGGATCGGTTCAGTGCGGGCATTAACTGGGGGTTCTCTATGAATTGGCTACATAACTCTGCTCTCCTCCCCACTGAGAGCTGGTGTGTGGTGAGCGTTCTGGCGCACTATGGCTGCCGTCGCCTCATCCAGGTGGGGCTGCACACTGGTGGTGGTGGAGGGGAGTCCCCATTACCTGTAAAGCGCTTTGAGTGGAGTGTCCAGAAAAGCGCTATATAAGTGTAAGCAATTAATTAATTAATGAATTCTCCCGCTCCCTGTGTGCTGGCAGGGCCTGGCCAGTCTGCAGCAGGCACAGGACTCTCTGGAGAGGAGCTACCTGCAGGCCAGGGAGCAACAGCGCCACCTGCCGCCACAAGACGCAGGGGTCTTCGACCCCGACAGGTGAGAGACAGGAGGCGCATTTGGATCCCCTTTGTTGGTTCTTCGAAGGAAAGAAATGGGAACCACGTCTGAAGTGACGTTGGGCATCCTCGCTCCTTCTCATTTCCTGTCGCCACCTCGTTCTCGGCCTCCTCCCTCCTCCCTCGCTCTTCTGACTCCGGCTTTCCGGCTCTCCGGCTCAGGGAGGTGGAGGGACAGATCTTCAGGCTGGGGATGCGCTTGGAGGATCTGATGGAGCAGATCGAGCAGACGGCCCAGCGGAGGCCCAGCTCCCCCGCCGCCGCCCCCCCCTCGCCGCCCCCCATGCCAGATGCTCCGCCTGGAGTCCACAGCGCCCCCACGCCACACCCAGAGGTACTGCACTGTCTAGGGGCACAGGGGCCTGGCCGTCGCACTGCTGCCCCACATCTCCAGGGTTCAAGGTCCAAGCATCTTTCCGTTCGGAGTCTGCATGTTCCTTGCTCCGGTTCTTTGGCTTAAAAAAAAAAAGCCTGTCGTTTTCAGTCACACCACTAGGTGGCGAAGCGATCTTAAGATGTGTGCAGAGTTCGCTTGAGTCGAGGTTTTGCTCTCCTGGTAGAAGAGGGGTTTTAGAGAAGCAGGCCTCTCTGTCTGCTGACTTTTTTCCTGTGTGACTCCGGGGAGCCCTTCAGTCATTCCCTGCACCTGTGCTTAGCTGTGATGGTTTGAATCCCATGGGAACAGAGAACTCCTCACACACCAGCTCTCAGTGGGAAGGAGAACAGAGCGATGAAGCCAGTTCAGAGATGGGGATTATTAGGAGGCCATGATTGGTAAGGGCCAATGGGGAAATTTGTCAGGACACCGGAGTTACACCCCTGCTCCTTCTGAAAAACACCCTGGGATTTCTAATGACCACAGAGAGTCTCAACTAAGAGATGGTGTGTTTTCTACAGTACAGTGTCCCCGTCACTATACTGGGGCATTAGGACCCACACAG